CCAACCCAAACTATTCTATGATTCTATAAAGCGACAGTGGGTGTACCGTGATGGCACAAGCAGCCAATCTCATTCAGATAAAAAAAATACTCATGGATCCTTCATGTTTGCAAGAAAGAGTAAGCTTTCTTGCCCTATCATGTATATCTACACACATCTCGTTTTATGACACCGCTGACTTGTTATTCTGTCTTCTGTTACATTTTCTGGCTAATAATTATGGGAAATCTATTAATGATATATTTGTATCACTACCTCGATGCCGAATGCGCGTAATACCCGTCTTCGCCGAAGTGACGAGGTGTTAATGCTCTCATCGGTTCGGCGCTGTGTTAAGCTCTGCTCGCTGCCGCCCTCCGGTGACCGCTCCCGCCTCGCTCCGCTCTCGGCGCCGGGAGCCGGAGGCTGCCGTCCGCCAGCACCGGGGAAGGCCACTCTCCGCCTCTCCACACAAATAGCAATGCAGCAGTGAGCTCAGTCTATCATCCGAACTAAGCCATAGGTTCCCTTTGAGACTTTGTATGTTAAAAGTTTGTTTTTAATGGATTGGAAGGGTGGCTAACAGTGCCCAAATAGTAGGACTTCACTAGTTCTGCTTATAGCAAAGCTCTTGTGACAGTTAAAAAGAAATAGGTAAGAGGTTAAAGCTTGAACAAAAAGTTATTATAATGGAAGCTTGATCTCAACTGTGGCAAATGAATGTACTTCTAGGATAGAAGATTTGTAGTTGACAGTAGAATTAACAAAACCTTATGCTGATTGTATCAGAGATGGTGCTGTTCCACAGAAACACATCCTATGTCTCAGGTTGTTCTTTAGTTTAACTGTGAAGTACGTATATGTAAATCCCATAAAATACATATTTCGATGTCAGAGCACAGAGATTTTAAGAACTAAAGAACAGTGTGGTTCAGCAATTAAATGTAAGATAGTTGATTACTTGAGAAGATTTATTTTAAATTTTAGCAAGGTGGATGGAAATATATAGACCAGAAAAGAAAAAATATTAATTAATTCAAATTTAAGATTTGTAGAATTGTGTAAATTATGGTTTAGTGTTTATTCACAGCTGTTGTTTCCATGTATGCTTGATAATAACTGTCAGACATATGGCCTATACAGAAGACCTTCCACGTAAAGGTCAAAATCTTGACTCCCGGTAGCTGGGAGGATAGGGAATGGAAACCTACCTTCCCTATTTGGTGAGGAATGGCTGTGTAATTGCTCCAGACAGACTGCTGCAGTGGAATTCCTTACTTAGCTCGCCTCAATCATGTTGTAACAGAGGGAAGAGTAGGGAGCCAAATTCAGTCACAGACAAGTAATGTATTAATGGTAGCCAGAAAGATTAAAAGCACCGACAGCCTTAGGCTCCTGATCTGTTCCCATGTTTTGTAATTGTGTACTTTTTAGTGAAAGAGGTTGGTGCACTGCTCTTTAGCTTCCAATTTTATCTTGTGTAGTTCAGCTGAAGGTGTTCGGTTGTGTATTAATTAAAGAAACTGTGCCAGAATGTACAGGCTCTCAAAGAAAGAACAGAAGAGGCAATTGGACATGTGAAAATGCAGAACAGGAAGAAGTGAACCAAGAAACTAGAGAAACAGGATTTTTTTTTTTCTCCATAGTTTAGAAATAACCAAGATGTTGGTGTCTGATCTACTGTCGGTTCATTGTCATAAACTATGTGAGAGAATAGAAATTACCAGATGGTCTGAGTCACAGACGGTGCAGAGACATATTTTTCTTTTTAGGTAAGTTTGAAAAGCACAAGAGGAATTTTGGATGGTTTAAGGCTCCTGATGAATTTGCTGTAAAATGACAAGAATGGTATCTGCAGAGAACTGCACCAGGATAGTGATTGATTTTTGGAGGGCTCCAGAGACAATGAAGCAAGTCTTTCACTGCCCACTGCATTTGCCAGAAGATGCAGCAGGACAGAACACTGATTGAAAGTTTGGGTTGATAATTTATCTTATATTAGCGTTAAGGTTGTTTGCATGTGCTTGAGGATAGGTTAGGGAGGCATTTCTCTCAGATTGGATTGCCTATTCTTCCTTGTCTCTGCTTATTGGTTACTGATAACTGTGCTTCAGTTACTGATAATAATACCTCTGACTTACTAGGGAACTACCCTTGGTCAGGTCAATAACTTATATTTGATTTCCTAAGTTCATTGGAAAGGAAGTGTTGCTTTACAGCATATTACTGAATTCCTGTTTTGACTGTGATGGTTTATAAGTAAGTAATCAGGTGTTAAGAAACAGATTTCTGTAGTATTGGAGAGTGCTACATTTGGCCCTGAAAGCACTGTGGAACTGAGTGTGGTGTACTTTAGCTCCCTCTAAAAAACTAAAGGTCCTCCATGTCAGATGCTTTCTGCTCTTCAGTGTTTTCCTACAGAACTGAGAAATAGTGCAGCACTGTCTAGTATTTTGTTATAGTATCCTTTTTAACTGTACTGTGGGAGCATGACCTTTGATGAATTAACAGTTTGTCATTTTAGAGTAGTGTTCTATTCTGTGCCTTCCCTATATGCTGTAGTGTTCTTCCTGTGCACTACTTTCCAGAGGAATGCAAGCTTCAAGGAGTAAAAATACAGAAAAGGCAGAACCATTCTACAAGCTTTCAGTGCCAAAGCAGAAGACCAGTTCTGAGATTATAAATGAAGCCAGAAATTTTCTACGAACACTAAGAACTCGAAGACCATTTACACCTACAGAAGAACAAAGGAGACTTTTTGGATCTGGATCCTCACGAGCTCCTCAAAATAGACCCCCTTCAGTTTTTAGGTACTGTGGCTTTAAGATTTTTTTTCAAATACCCTTTAACAGCAAGAGATTTGATTCTGTCATTACGTTTCCAGTGATTCCCCTCCCCCCCCCCCCCAATGTTTCCCCCCCCCCCCCCCCCGTATTAATCTATATTCCTAATCACATCCTTTGCCTTCTTCTAATGATCCTTACTGTTGATGTTAATCTACATGTCCAGGAAGTTCCTGTGGATTAGAGATACCAGAGGCAGTCTTTACACTAGTTTTGTATGTAAAGAATAGTATAGGAAAATAGTTACTCACTTTTTTCTAAAGACAATGTATGCTTTTAATGTATGCTTCAGTTTTTCCCTGTGAAAAAAAAACCTGAGAAAACTTGCTTGTTTCCACATAAACTGTATGCTAGATCCTTTTTTCAGAGCTTTCTCAGATATTTTAAAATATAAATTGTAGGTCTTGAAGTTTGAAATGCTCATTTTTAACCAAAATTTATACTACCTCAAAATTACTTCTGTGTGGAGTTTTGTTATGTACTGTAACTCACAGAGCTCAATAAATCTGTCTCTTGTGACAAAAAAGGAAAAAAAATTGTATATTGGGCTTTTAAAATCCATTTTCCCAGTTATTTTTTAGCTCCCCTTATATGCCAATTCTGTAATGACTATAGGGAGGAGATATGAGCTGTATTTATAATGTTAGGTGTCAGGCATGCCAGAAAGGATGCTGAAATGTGTTGGAAGAGCCATACAAGTAAGTCAGTGTCCATGCTGTTTCATGGCAGCATGACTTCAGGTGCTCAGTGTATCCAATACTCCTTACTGCATCATGTTGTGTCCTCAGAGGAGGCAAGAGCCTGAGAGTGACGTGGTGTTTATTGGTGACTGGGTAATGAGGTCCCTCTGGCTGACAGCCATGCTTGTTCTGCCTGTGATTCTCTTGTATACAGGCAGGAGCATGCTTATGCCTGCACAAACCTGGGGTTTCTGCCCTGCAGTGTTCTGCAGCTTGTGTCAGATAGCTTGGGCACTAACCACAGTTAGTTTGTGGATGAATTTAGGCTTGTATTAGAGGATTTTTATAGATGTATATGAAATAAGCCGTGTGATGGCAGGTGTGCAGGTGATCTTGTAATTCTTCTCCTTTGATGCTGTTGGATTCCCACATATCAAAGTTAAATAGAATTCATAGAAGAAGAGTGATAGAGTGCTATGTCACTCTTCCTTTCTTCTTCCTTTTCACCATATTCATTAGCAAATGCAAGAAGCAAGCAATAAAAAAAAACCAAAACAAAACAAACCCCATCCAAACAAAGAAACCCACCAAAACCCCCAAAACACAAAACGTTGGATCTGCGTTATTCATATTATGTTTACTTTCTTTATACTAGTCTTCACGCATCCAATTTTGATTTGGCTGAATCAAGACCAGTGTCTGGTGTTCGTCTTAGCCCACTGAAACATGTGAGTACTCTGGAAATAACTCAGGCAATACTGACATAAAAATATGTGTATTTGTAGCATACGAAAAAGATACAGTTTAAATAGGCAGGGGGGAAGTGGAAGCCTGTTGTAATGTTAGTCGGAGACTTCAAAAGTCAGTTTTGTCTTTATTTCCCCCAAAAAGAAATCTGAAAATAATTTAAATCAATTTAAATATCTCTGATTTGCATAATATTTCTAAGTGACATTAACAAGAATCAGAAGATGGATACTTGAGTCAGCTTTATTGTGTAAGATTACTGAAGTAGAAAAAGGTCATGAGCATCAACATGAGCCAGCAACACACCGTTGCCACTAAAAAGGCAGCTAATGGTATTCTGGGCTTCATTAAGAGGAGTGTTCCCAGCAAGTTGCCACACCTGGAGTGCTGAGTCCAGTTCTGGGATCCCCATTAAAAGAGAGACTTAGAGGTACTGGAGAAAATTCAGTGAAGGGCCACAAAGATAATGAAAGGCCTGGACCAAGGTTGGGAGACCTGGGAACGTACATCCTGGAGAAGAGAAGGCTCAGGGGGGATCTTATCCATGTATATAAATACCTGAAGAGAGAGTGCAAGAAAAAAAACACAGGGCGGGGGTGGGGGGAAAAGGGGTCAGAGCCAGTGTTTTTTCAATGGCAGGACCAGAGGCACAAACCGAGACACAGGAGGTACCCTTCAAACTCCAGGAAATGCTTTTTCTGCTATGCGGGTGACAAAGCACTGGCACAGGTTGCTCAGAGATCTTCAAAAGCTTCCTGGACGTGGTCCTGAGCAACTGGCTCTGGGTGTCCTATCTGAGCAGGGGGTTTGAGCAAGGTGACCTCCAGAAATCCCTTCTAGCCTCAACTGTGCTGTGGTTCTGTGATCAATGACTGAAAGTAACTACATTGATTGTGCTTTCTATTTGACTTACACATCTATAAAATGTAATGATCGTAGTGTATTTACAACTGAATAGAAGTACTTGTAAAATATGTCCCCTCTGTGGAAAATTTGATTTTTTTTTTTAATTTTATTTATAAGCATATCTCCTCTTTCAGATTTTTTTAATATTTAATATTTAAATATAAGATTGAGTAGTGATCATTTGTTTAGTACCTGAGAGAATAGAGTGTGCTGAAACAGGTAAGTATGCTTGCTGCATGTATTGTTTTTTCAAGATAGCATTCTTTAGGAAATTAGAGGGGAGAAGTCTAAGAAATGTTATACTTCAATAATTTTGATAAGGTAATGTGTTTATATGAGTCAAATTTAAAAATGATGACCATACTTAGATTAAATATATCTGCAGTTGGATTTAATTACTAGTGTTTAAGTTTTTATTTATCTTGTGCATGATAGTGGAAGAATATCTAGAGCAAGCTACTGTTAAGACCAATGCCTTTTCTACTTTACTAATGGAAAGAAGTTAGTACGTTGTAAATAAAGAGCTTGTGTTAGTCATGGTGGCTATGGGGAGTGTGTCTCAACTGTTTGCTATCCCCAGCAGATAATGGGGAGAGCTCTGAAGGAGCAGACTGGAAACTTTTGAATGGATCCTTTATTGTAAAGAAATTGGTAGAGAACCTTGACCTTAGGGGGCAATGTGTTTGTTTAAAGCACAGCAAGTGTTTTATACCAGAGGTTCAGGGCTTGGTCACATCCTCAAATGTGAGGTACTGACATAAATAAAACTGGAACTTGCGTGTATCTGGATCTGCATGATTTGTCTCAGTCTGGTAGGAAGTGGTACATATGATATGAACACATTTGAAGTGGTTTGGAAATACTAATTTAGTGCTCAAAACCAAATCATGAAGAACAAATGTGCCTCTAGAATTGTTAGTACAAGTCTTTGGCACAACATTTCTTTCTTTCTTTTTTTTTTTTTTCTTTTTTTCAACAAATAACTGCAGATGATGTTAAAAGAGTATTTATGAGGGAAATAAATAATTCTGAGTTTCAGTTGCTCTACTCAGGCTAGTTTTTGTTTGTTTTCTGCCCCTCCCTGAATATTTGCTTTTAAATGGCTTTCTGTGATGATAAAAGGTATAGATATCTGGCTTGTCCAGTGGAATGGATATGAAAATTTCTTAATGAGCAAATCTATGTAACTTTTGTCTGTTCTATTCTGAACTTAATGTTTTGTGTAAATAATTTGCATTTTTTGCTTATATGAAAACAAAATTATCTGTGCTTTTATTAAAATGTTGTCTTTATCTTTGTCACAGAAATCAGTACTAGTCACTTCAGCAAAAGATGAAGCTTCTTCCATTTCCTTTCCAAAACCTCTTGCTGATGCTTCAGAGATCAGAAAAGTCAGCAATGCTCGGGCACGCTTATTTGGAAGAACTTCTTGGGGAAATTTCCTTTCTGCTAAAACAGTGCCTCCTGATCAGAGTAAGAATATTTTGATATATATTATTTTCTAGAAAAATAACTGCATGATGGGTTTTAATATTGTTAATTACATGAATTATTATATTAAAGGACCTGCATGTCCTTTCAGAGTAAATTTAAAAAATACTTAAATGGCTTTAAGGCAGTTTTGAAAATGTGATTTTAAAAAATTATACTGCCTTTCACTTCTGAAAGTGAGTTGAAAGCTACTCGTGCCTTTTTCTCCTATAGGTTTCCAAGTAATGGAATTTTTACTGGAATTTTTCTTCAGTGGCTAAAATTAACATTAAATGCTGAAATGTTTAAAGAGATAATGAGATGGCATCCTCTAAGGAGATTCCCTGATGGATTATTGAGCATAAAAGAGGAATAAAAAGAAATGCTATGTCTTGACAGACTTCCAGCTACATCATATGTGTTGTTAAGAGTTTTGTTAGCGGAGACTTAATGAAAGTCACAAAACGTGGACTTTAAAAGTAACTTTCTGCAGATGGAAAAGTCTTGACGTCTTGGTTTCCTGCACGTTGGCTCATCGTAAAACGTGCTGGAAATCTGTCTTTAATGAAGACTCATTTGTAATAATGACAATTCTTATATTGCCTGGGATTGTTACTTTACGTAATAAACTGAATATCACACTTTTTACCTTATTGCAAAATGAGTCTTACATGTGAAGTACTAAATTTTACTTCAGTATTGTGTACATTTTCTATAGATGCATACTTAGTAGTTTATGCAGTTTGTCCTGTATGTAGTTTAATCCATTAGCCTTAATAAGTCGATGTTTCTAATTGAATTCTAATTTCTAATTCTCAACATTGAAGTTGAGAACCTAATGTAGTTATAATCTGAGTTTCACTTCTTCTTTGGATATCATGCAAATGTTTATGTAAGGTTTTTTGTGCAGGTTCTTGTCACATGTAGATACCAGGGTACGAAATTTAACAGCTACTGTTTGGTTGAGTTCCTTCGTAATATTCAGACCCTGAAATATAATCACTTTTTTCACATGGTACAATCCACCTATCTGTAAAAGGGAAATAAAAAAATTGATTAAAATGTTAAAACACAGAATGGAAAGACTTAGAGACTTTAGACTTTGCTCTAATTATTCTTAAGCTTTCTCACTTTTTAAACTGATACAAGCACATTTAATAATGTAACATGACAAACAGTAATTCATTTTAGCTCTGTCTTGTGTATTTGTTGAGCATGAACACTTCTACAAAATGTATTCTCTTTGACTATTTCAGAAGAAGAGAAGCTAGATTCTGAACAAACAGCTATGATGAATAATCTTTGCAGGAGTAATAATGACTGCTTAGCAGAGCAAAGGTCATACTCACCATGGAATGGTGAAAGCAGACAATTAATTTGTAATGAGCATATCAGTGAGTTGGAGAGCAGAGACTTCGTAAAAGGGACAGCAGGAAAACTTCCGTTTCAAATGAGAGGAGAAAGGTCAGTATTGATCTATTATAGTAATGTGCGCCTTCCACACAACCCTCTTCCTATATATTCAAGTTTTCAAGTATCAAAATGTTTAAAATTGATGGAATTTAAAGGTAGCACTATTCATGCATTACAGCAAAACTATGTTCAGATTATTAATTAAAAAAAATCTTTACACTTCTGTTCTTAAGAAGTTTCTACACTCAAAAGACTTAATTTGTCTGAAAATTGTTAGTAGCAAATTGTATGATGTGAAATAACTTTGTTTGATCATTAAAATTTCAAAACTAAGTCATCTCGTAATTGCATATAGAATGCTCAAGTTTAAATTCAGTGTGCTTGCTTTTACAGTTCAAGCCTGTTGTTTTAAGGTACTATACATTCTTCCTTTAGCTTCACAGATGAGTAGAGCTGTGTTTTCAGGTCTGGTATTGTGGAAATATGTGATCGTACACAAAAATGAGGCTTAAACTCATTGGCAGTACAGGCAGAATTTTTTGGTGACTTTGAATTTTTTAGTTTGTTTTTTTTCGATGACCAAACAGGTGTAAGAGATTGATGAGATGTATGTACATGCCTGAATCTGAACCGTTCTGTAATTCACAATTAAGTAATTTTTTTAAAATTTTTTTTTTCTTTTGATTCAGATCTGAATTCTTGCACAGGGAGAAATAGTCCGTAGCAGGTGTATCAGTTGTTGCATTATTAGTTGGACAAACAACTGTTTTGTGCTAATAACAATGACAGAACTAACAATCTTTACAACAAAGAATGAATAACAGTTTATTTTCAAAACGCTTCCTATAAATACTTGGTCACTATTAAATGTAAATATTTGCAGCAGATATTTTCTTTGTAGCGTGTTTTTATGATTAGGAAAAATTATTTCCCTGGATGTTTTAAATGCTTTTGATATTAATGAGTAGATTATTAGTTTTATAAAATGAAGCATCTTTCGTTTGCTAACTTGATAGTATCATATAGTTTAGAGGATGTTGTCCATTGAGGCTGTTGCAACAAATGATACATAGCAGAGCTATTGTAGCACTCTTCTTGTATATCAAACTGAAAGAGGATTTAAAAAAAGACTGGAGACTTGTAGGAGCAAAGAAGAAGTTTCATGAATATGGAGGGAGGGAAAATGAGACAATAAACCCAGCAATGAAAAACATAGGTGAAGGAAAGTAATGACTGGCTTCTCTACCGAAATATTCTTTGGAACAGGCGGGGTTAAAAAAAAAAGCCTATTACCAAAAGACTGCTTGTTGCAACATGAGGTCTTATAGGACATTTTCTGTTCGCTTTCTCTGTGTAAGAGGAGTTTTAGAAAATATGAGAAGTTGAAAGGGGAAAATGATATATTTTCAATTTTATATTCTTCAAATACCATTATGCATATTTGAAGAATATTTGATCAAGCTTTGTTTTGCATAACCTCTGCTGGCTTAATTTCTTTTTGACCTATTTACTTACTTTTCTGACTCTTAAGGTGGTATCTAAAATACTAATGATTCTAACCATAAAAGATGGATTGTTAATGCATGTGGCTTGTTATATCCATGTTTGAACTAAGGAGAATACTTCCATAAGTAGTTGAATCTCATTTAAGTTAGTTCTCAAATTACTGGCCTTAAGATAATAAAATGTTTTGCAATCCTTTTCTGACTAGTTTTCTCCAAAATAGAAGAGCAGTGTAATATTCCTTCCTCTTCCTGTGTTGAATGCAAGATCTGTATTTTTGAATGGTGCTTTACCTTCTCCTGCAAGTTGTGCATACTTTCTGTGGTCCTGAGATGGAGATTATTTTTGCCGATGCTGCCTGTGGTGCTTTATACCCTTGTGCCAAAGATCACTAACAACATTTAGGTGATCATATGGCTTAGACTGTCAGACATACCTGCAGTGCTGCAATATGCACAAAAATAATACAAAATACTTTCCCTTTAGTAAAAGACAAAGATCCCTCATCTGTATCAGCCCAAGCATTTCAAGCCATCATATGATGAAATGGCTCTAGGTAATCTCAGCTGCTTTTATACATTCTAACTCATTGCTAAGACTTACACCAATTGACATGCTGGTTTGGTATTCACATATGATACGACACAACTCAGGCAGATCCTCATCTGTATCCTTTTCTGAGTTCAGAGATGCCATTTTTCGTTTGACAGGGTAGTTGAAAGATATGACAAACCTATCCTTCAGTATATTCACTGAGTCTGGTCTTGGTAGGAGTTGTATGTAAAAGGTTCCAGTACCATAGAGGTGTTATTGCAGTAGCAGAGTTTTGGCATTCTTTCTCAATATAACATATTTACAGGTACCAGATGATAGCTCTGATTAGATTGCATCTGCTTCTGTATCATAAATACTTGAGGCATCTTGTATGGAATTTAAAGATATTTCTATTTAAAGTACATTGTATTCAGGAGTAATAGGATGAAGGCTTAAAGGAATGTAAAAACTTCTATTACCTGGAGTCCTGTCATTCTCCATATGAAGCAGTTGTCAGCCTCAATTCTGTATCCCAGTGATTTAAAATCCTTGCAGGAATTAAGAAAGAGGATTATAAAAATAGTACACTTTGTGCAGGAGAAGGTGCGTGAGACTCCTTACTTTCCTTTCCACACAGTTCCTATATATGTACCAAAATAACTTTTCCAATAAAGCTGGTTTTGGGGGGGTTTGGGTTGGTTTGGTTGGTTTTGTAGGTTTTTTTTGCATTTGGTTTGGTTTGGTTTGGTTTGGTTTTTTTATGATGGAATTGTAGAGCATGCCAAAATAGCATGGTGATTCCTGCCTTTAATGCTATTACATTTATTTCAAAAAGAACAGAAGGGAAGTATTCCAGAAAGTGACTTGCTCACTTTCCATCTCAGATTCTTTTGTTGTCCCAAGGACTGATGAAAAGATGAACAGCACTGATGAAATCAGTACTGCTTTATAAAGATACTGGGGGAGGGGGGAGAGAGAAGGGGACAGAGGAGGAGAAGAAAAAAAGACCTTTTGAGGGGAAGAGTTATTTGTCATTTTGTTTGCATTTCTGTTTTTCAAATAACCATCTAGTTTGAATAGGTAGATTAATTGAAGTAGATTGAATTTATTGACATGTTACCTCAGGAAAGCAAGGAGCAATTTCTGACAACCATAAGGAAACTAAGTTTTGTTTACATCTTCATCCAGCCATTGTGTCTTGCCATCTATTGTGATTGCTATAGAAATGAAAGTTCTAAAATGTTTTCTGCATTCATGTATTTCAACAGAAGTGTCAACAGTGATGGCAGATTTGCTGATGAAGAGCAACAGTTTCCGGGGTGAGAAAAAATGAATTTTATTCTTTTTTTTTCCTCCTTTTCCAATTTTTCAATGTTCCGAAAGCTTAGATGTTATTGCAGGACTCCTTAGAAACATAGGTACCTTCAGTGAGGAAAAGCTTGGTGGCAAGCAGTTGATTCCCAAGTGGCCTGCTCTACACTTTCTCTAACGTGGTTTCTATAAATATCTACCAAAGGATGAGAAGGTGCTGTAAAGAAGATATACTATGCCCTGTTTTCTTTCACCATTGCTGTCCATATTAAATGCCTGTTTGACAGAATCCTTGAGAGGTATTCATTAACTGCTTCCATAGGACTAGTTTCTCTTTTTTGTGCCTTTTATAGTTTTTGAATGGTTCAATAGAAAATGATAAAAGCAGGGGACAAGTGAATACTGGCAATCACTTCTGTCCAATTGCTTAAACGAGCTTCACATCTGTGCCCAAAATATTCATTCATCCTCTCCTCAAAGAAGAGGTTTCCTATGGAGGAGATAGATTTCTTTCCTGAAGGGAACACCCATTCTGTTTTGCTCTGGATGAATTCTTGAAATGAATGACATGGTGTGAACATAGTTTGTTGTATGGTTTAGTTGATATTGCTGCTGATTCTCTGGACTTCTTTCAGGATTTTTCTTGTTATGTATATTCACAGTTTCTGGAGTTCTCATAAAGGCATGGAAATGCGACATTAATCTACTCCTAAGTAATCTTTGTCTATTTCTGCCTCAGTTCTGCTAGCTATTGAAATCACTAAGAAAGAAACAATTGAGTGGTGGGAAAGCTGTGACAGGTAGAGATTCCTACATTGTTTTCCAAGGAAGTATGACACCTGCCCTTCCAAGAAGATGCTTATTTTTATATAGGGCTAGGGAACACTGAGAGAAAATTGGGAATGAAGAATTCTTTTTTCATAACTTTCTATAGACTTCTGAAGAAAAGAGCAATAGGTAACTGTTATCTCTGGTCTCTTCATTTGTGAAATAGAGTGGAGTTTAGGCTCACTTTTACTGCCTATGGCAAAGGGAGTCTCTCCACTTCAGTCATTAATTTCAGGGTAAGGTCATTGGTCTCCAAGTGTGGGAGATCTAGGTCTTGAGAGTCCTTCTTACCAATTGAATGGTTATTGTAGAAGGGGAAAGTGTACCTTGCAAGGGGTAAAGATGGAATGCCATTTCAGTCTAGGTATAATAACGATGGATTTAGATTGAATTTTTGATTAGAATGAGAATACTTATGCAAGATTCAAGTTAGGAAGATGAAGGTGCTGTGGTTTTCAGACTCAAATATATTTAGGCTGGTATTTTAGGTGTTTTTTATTGTTAGAATTAGGCTGTCAGTTGTCTGCTTGCTTACAGATACCCTGTCACATATAGATATTCTTACTACTTTCTGTATTAGGCAGAAGATGCAAAGAAGAAAAAGATTAAGTAAGGATATGGGTTTTTCATCAACCTCTATTATTCTTTTAAGCCATACTATTTAACATGTGCATGAAGTTCTTCATCAACAGCCTGTATAAATGGAATACTATATTCTTTTTATCACTGGAGCCGTCATAGGTAATGGACTATGCCCATGATTGTGTTTATAGAGAAATTGTTATTTGCTCATCTTTAGGATGACTCAGAGTATAGTTGGTCTATTTGTCAACATATTTTTGCAAATTATGTTGCCTTTCTACTATTTATCCTTTCTCTTATCAGTTAAAGTCTCAGTTACAGTTTTCACTCCCTTTTGTTTTTGTCTTTTCTGGTGGTGTTACTTATGATATAATCCTCTACAATTCCTGAATTAATTTAGGACATCTATATTATCAGTTTTTAAATTATTTGCATGCTTTTGAAAAACTGAGGAACAGGACTGACTACAGGTTATTGTAATTGGCTTAATACCTCATATTTCTTTTAACTGTCTGCTAAAGGAAAACAGTCTTGAAAAAAAAAAATCAAGCTATTATACTAACTCTTTTTCCTTTGAGGCACATCTATTACTTATTTCCATGTTATATTTGTAGCTATGTTGGTTGTCCTAAGATGGCATCATAGAAAAGAAAGTTCAGTGGTAGCTGAGCAAATAGGGACACATTCTCTTAAGTGGCTTAGTGAAGGTCAGTTCTTTGTCTGAAAAAAGAAGTTATGCCAGTTTATCCAGCGCTAGGTTATAGGCCAGGAAGAAATCACTTGGCTTAAAACAAAGCAAACCCCCTACTATTCAACCAATGAAAGATGATACGGAAAACTAATTCTGATGTCCTTAACATAAAAGATCTGGATAGCACCATTAAATATTATTAATTTAATTATTGTTAACTTAAATATAATTCCTAAAATTATAGGAATAAATGGATTAATGAAAAATGCAAACTTAGTTGGCATATGGAAAGAATAATTTCTATGAGAGTGAGTGATAAATCAAAATACTTCTTTTTCTCATTTTGCCAAAAGCTAAAACCAATTCCTATTAGTTGCTTTGGCAAAAATACTAGGATGTTGTTTACACTTCCTTTCAAAGTCTACAGAGCAATGTCTTGTTTAGATTTAGAACTTGTTTCCTGATCACGAAACACTTATGGTGGAAGAATCATGGTAGTGGAGGGTTTATGTTTTAAAGTGGTGTTCCTAAGCATTGTGTAACTGAACATTGAGAAAATCAGTCGCAGCCTCTCTCACTTGTTCCAGCTCCACATCTGACTCACCTTCTCCTTTGCCTCAGGTTCTTCTACCACATTATCCCCTGCTGCTGATTCAGGATCTGCTACATCATCCCTCTTGCCCTGATTCCCAGGATCACCATTAGTTTCTTTTAACTTTCCCTGGAGATGCCATTCTTCTTTTTGAGATGAAGCTGCTGAGTCTGGCTGTGCCCTGATAAATTTTATCATGCCTTTTTGCAGTGTGCTCCTGCCAAGAGGTCAGGAGCAGGTCACAAGACCACAGTTGTGAATAATTTAGAAAAAATATAACTGACAGTATATAAGCAACCCATTGTCTGATACACCAGAAGGTTGTGCAGCTGTCCAGAAGGACCTAAGTAGGCTGGAGAAATGGATTGACAGGAACCTTATGCAGTTTAACAAAGGCAAGTGCAAAGTCCTGCACCTGTGGAGGAACAATCCCAGGCACGAGTATATACTGGGGGCCATTCATCTGGGAGGTAGCTTTGTGGAAAAAGACCTCAGGGTCCTGGTGGACACCAAGTTCATAGAACAGTTCAGGCTGAGAGGGACTGTGGAAGATCATCTGGTCCAATCTTTTGTGGAAAAGGGAGCCTAGATGAGATTATCTAGCACCTTGTGCATTCACATGTTGAAAATCTCCACCATACCTGGAGTGCTGGGCCCAGTTCTCGGTTCCCTAGTGCTGTAGAGATACGGAGCAGCTAGAGAGAGTCCAGCTACTGAGATAATGGAGTCCTTCATATGAGGAAAGGCTGGCAGAGCTGGGACTGTTTAATTTGAAGAAGAGAAGGCTCAAAAGATCTTATCAATTAATATAAATACCTGAAGGGAGGGTGCATTATGACACCCTCATTAGTGGTGTGGCAAGAGCTTTTCCTTCTCTGCCATGGTAGGCACTTAGAAGAAGAAAAACTAGCTGTTTACCTGTTAATATTCTCTTTAGAGACTTACTGGTTGAGACTTCTACTTTCAGAAGACATCCTTGCAGCTTTTCCCTTTGTAGACCATGTAGAATTTGTGAATCTTTGATTGACAGGAGAATATACAACTGCTTAAATAGCTAAATGATCCTTATCAATAGAAGGTATGCCATCCTGGATACTGCTGTCATTAAAAATAAACTCAAATTACAGTGTAGATGTAGTCACATTCTAAATATGCATGTCAGTAACATCTCAAAGAACAGTCTTTCTAAATGGCGTATCAGTTTTGGGATTATCCCCAGTCAGGGGGGACTGATCTAGTCTGAAAGAACACCTTTGTGCCTAGGAGTCCTTTGATACATCCAGCTTGCCTGAGCAGGCCCCCAGGATCTTCTTAGCATTGCTTTAAATCTCTTCTTGATTTTTGGGTATAGATTCATCATGTCTGGCTTTCCAATGCACACAATGTATGTTTGTAAAATCAGATGTTCAGTGCTTGTATTTATGTGTAAACAGTCTGCATCTTTTACTTATTGCAGTGCCTAAGCTGTTTTTAGAGCCCTGTGAGAAGTTAGAAATTGCTCTCCTAGATGTTTGAAGGCCTGAAAACATTGATATATCAAGGATCCAAAATAAAATTTGTAGAAATCTGAGTCATGTTTTGGGGTTTTAAATTAACTAGAAGAAAGGAATTATGTGGGAGCTGAAGAGAGTGGAATGAAAAAAAATACATTGGGGAGAAATTAAGTGACTATGTGGGGAAAATGGAAGAAAAGAGTGGGGGAATGCATCAAAGTAAAAATATGAAGGCAGAAACTGAAAGAAAACTGAAGGCAGGGCAGCCCAGCAACACCCTCTATTTGTTGGAGGCATTTCGGAAGCTTTTTGGTCACTGAAGGCACTGAGAAAGGTGGACTTCCACCATGACCTATTATGGCCTTCGTATATTTTCATTACATAAATGGCTAGTGTACTTTTAGATTAAGTACTGTTGGTTTTGTTTGTCTTATCAAAATAAAGACAAAAAATAAAAGGGCTCGAAGGACAAACAATGAAACTGTCAGGGACTTAGATTTGGTTATGAGTAAGTAAGAAGATTAGAATTGTGGTTCTATAGATACAGAAAATGCTCTGCAAATAGATGTGCAGGAACTGTATTTGCATAATTACAGTTTTCTGACTTAGGAAAAGAGTGTCGAAGAAATAAAAGGAAATTGAGAGACAATAAACTCAAATGCCTTAGAAATTTATTTTAAAATAAAATGAATCCCACTCCAAACTAAATATTTCTTTACTTTAGAAAATGCTGCTAGAAGTTAGCAATGAGGCCAGCATTTTATCGAGAACAGATGGATGATAAGAGATCTTTCACGTGGTGGCAACACAGACTAAGGCTTCTCATCAGGAAGGAACTTCTGAAGAGGTTTTTCTGTGAGTGTCTGTACTTACCAGTCTCATGTCTTCTTCTGACACAGTAAAAGAGGTAGCTGAAGACAAGCTTTTGGACTAATTAGACCATGCTCATTTTTGTATTTGAAAAAAAGTTTTTAAATGTAAATTTTAGTAATATTCTAGTTTCTGCAGGTGACACCTTCAGAAAGCAGTGTGCTGTGTGGTTTTTTCCACCTAGATTCCAAGTTAACCTTTTCTGGTTTAAGTGTTGCTGATGTTTGAGATTTACTACTGTTTCAAAAATTTTGTGTGAAGCTGACTGAGAGTAAATGGTGTTTTTGTTAGTCAGCCTTCATGAAGTCCTTGGATGTTAAACCTAATATTCCTTTTATTTCTGTCAGTGGAAACCAGTTTGGTGCTTCTGATGTCCCCCTCATCCCTGAAAGAGGTTGCTTTAGTCACGTAGAATTTGCCATCAAAAGATGCCTATAAATAAAATACAGATGCAGACCACCTTATTCTGTATCACAGAATTTGTAATTAATTTTCATTTTCTATTTAAAAGTGGATAAGAAATCTATTTCCAGACATCAGTTATTGTCTGCTGTGTGTGGCTTCCTCATGGTATTTACTTAGGATATGCGGTGTACCGTCTGCATCCGAGTAGCTCTCTGCCTTTTTAAGAGTCTGTTCCAGTTTACATAGGATAGTCCCAGTTCCTATCTCTGCTTTGAGAGAGAGTCCACAGATTTAGTTTACATAGATGCAAGAGAGGAGGCTCATATCTCTGGAGAAGCAAAGTCATGTGAGATCTTGATACTTGCAGAAGCAGGTAGTATGGGGGCTTATAGACTTTTCCATACCTACTAACCTAATCTGCTCATTCCCCATTACTTCTTCTCTTTGAAAACTAACCCCATATTCTTCATCCTTTATTGCACTGGCTCCATTAACTGTGCTCCCCTGTTCTTCTTCCACTTCCATACTATCGAGTTTCTCTTCCCAAAGTTGTAAGAATATGTAGGTGTTACAAGAACTTGCCGTGTGTTTTCTTTTCTTTCTAGTTAAGCTTTGCTACCTCACTGATCAAAAGTGCTTGCTAGAGACAGTTCTGCAGAGAAGCATTAACTTGTTAATATTAGGCTTTGTGTCCCTCTTAACTGGTAACTAAATAATCCATGGGGCACCGGGGCTATGTCTGCACTAATAATTAATAAAAATTAAACAAAGGAGTTAGTTTCTGGCTTGGTGGCCACCTGCTGTGTCATGGATTATGTTACAATGAAAGTATTTTTAACCCCCTCCCTACCACACAGAAGTAGGAATGTCCCTACCTCTGCTGTCTGTGCCCTATGCCCAAGCATTTGTCAAGGGAAGTATTACCTTTCTTGGGCCAAAATCGTAGCGGCGACCCTGTCAAGGGTTTAACTGTATGGAAGGGTGTGGTCCAAAATTCAGGCCCATTGCCAGGCTCTGCTTTACAAGTAAAGAGCTAGCCAGATTCTCAGATGTTTAAGGCTCTGCACTGTGAGGGAAGAGCTCAAGCACTGTTCTATTGGGATCTTACACTGACGTTTGTGAATCAGACCTTGCTGTTGTGTGCAGCTTCTTTGGAGAGAAATAGCCCAGCTCTTTGCCTTTGGAATGCAATTTATTTTTCTCTGGAATACCACTGAAGGTGAGAGTTTGCAGATTTACTATTAACATGAGGCTCATGGCAGAAACAAGCAAGTAAACATCTAAACACACAGAGTTTCTGAAGAAGTGCTGCTTTCGCTTAATTATACATTCTTTCACCAGGGAAAAATACTGAACACATGTATTTAGTCTGGCTGAAATGGAGTTAATTTTCCCCATAGCAGCCTTCATAGTGTGTAGCTAGAAAGGTGTTGGTAACACACTAGGGTTTTGGCACAGCATCAAGGCTGTTTCTCCAACATTCCTCCCTCACCAGTAGGTTGAGGTGTGGGCAAGATCCTGGGAGGGGACATAGGCAGGACAGCTGACCCAAACTGACCAATGGGATTTTCCATACCATACCATGTCTTAAGCAATAAGAGAGAGAGAGGAGGAGGGGTAGGGGTTACTTATATCGCTTGTCTTCCAGAGCAACTGCTCTGTGTACTGAAGTCCTAATTCCCAGGAAGTGGCTGGACATTGCCCTCTGATGGGAAGTAGAGAACAAGTATTTTGTTTCCCTACGCTTCCATGTGTGATCTTTTCTTTTACTTTATTAAACTGCCTTTATCTTGATCTGTGAGGGTTTTTTCCACCTTATTTTCTCCCCATTGTCCTGCTGAGGAGGGGCATGATAGAGCTGCTTGGTGGGCACCTGCAGTCCAGCCAGGGTCAACCCATCACAGCACACTACTGACTCACCTTCCTTTTGGAAGTCCTCATGGTCTGTGTACATTCAGGAAAGCAGTGTTCCACACACGGCTGCTATGATCTCCGTTATATGAGAAAGATAGAGATGATCCAGTTGCCAAGTTCTTTTTCCTCTATAAATCATCAGAGCCTCTGTCAGTTGATTTCTTGATGAGTCCCTTATCAGATGATCAGATTTCTGCCAGTTGACTTTGTTTCCAAGGCAACCACTCTCCTGACAAGCCAGTTCCCTTCAGTAGTAGGTAACTTATTTTTTAGAGTAGGTTGATTACATTTTAACTGCATAGTTCTTAACAAGATATTGCTGCTTAAGTTTCAGCCTTGCATGCGAGTAAAAAGATAACAAAGAAGCAAAAGTCTCTGTAGCTAAAATGGAGTTGACAGCATGGTAAAGACACATAGAGGGATTTTATAATCTTCACAAAATTCATAAATTGTACATAATTCCTAAAGATAAGCCTACCCACCAGTCGTTCTCATTTATGGATGTGTTCAGTATATTCTTTTTTTGAAAATAATGAGAGCTCCAGTTAAGCTCTTTAAATTATGAGGATGCTTCCCAATATATTTTATGAATACCAGCAATCTGCTTTCCTACTGGTGTAGGTCTCTACACTGGGTGATACTGGTGTTTAAGAGACAATAGGTTCCAACATACTATTTATTTATTTATTTATTTATTTTACACAGTTCAGACTTTGACATGGTCTTATCCTTCATCTCGCATATGTGATGTTTCTCTCTGATAAGTGTTCAGGTTACCACATCCTTTGCTTCTCTGTCTTTTCTATTCAGCTGCTTTTGTTTCCTGCAAAACTTGCAGGATTGTCTTTGTTGAGGTTTCTTGGGTTCAGCTGTTGGATTTGTATTTTGGGGGAAGGAGCACAGGCAGGATATAGTTACAAAACTTTTCTGAGGAAAGCAAACTCAAACATCCATATTCATATAGGTAGATAGTACCGTCATGCATACATAAAATTCTGAAGAATGATTTCTTAATATATCTGGGTTAGAAGGAGGTGACTGAAGTTGTTATTCTATTGCTTACCTAGTGTCCTTTCAGGTTGTAGTCTTGATTTCAGGGATGGATGAACCTTGTGCAATAATTTCTTAAACTTCTGAAGTTTGTGGGACAAGTTCTTCACATAAATAGAACCAATTTTTTATTTATATTAATAGACTGAACTGTATTTAATGTGTGCTGTAGAAACCCTCTTTTTTACAAATGTCAGTGTATTATTTTTTTATTACTTCGGGTTTTTTAAGCATTGTTTCCCCAGCAGAGTAGAAATTGCCATGTATGAGCTGAAATAATCTCAAGGTAGTTTGTTTAAGCATTTGGATTTTGAAACACTTAAATTCTCATGTTGTAAAATGAAAGCATTACTCACTGTTAGCAATGTTAATGAAGCAAGTGTTCCTCTGTAATGTGATTGCTTGGGAAATTTTTGACTGATCATAGTGAGCTATCCAGTCCCTTTTGTAGGGAACTGATCTTATAAGAGCTTTGTCTTTTATTCTGTCTCCATCTGTTGATAGGAGGACTTACATCTTCTGTCTGGACTGGCAGACAGGATTTAGGCGCCAATCCAGCAAACCACTTAAACAACAGTTTAGCTTTAAGCCTTACAGAAACTAAACTAACAGGTTAAAACCACCAACGACAAAAAAACAACCCAAAAAACATTGCTAGCACACTACTGTTATCTTTAGAAGGAAATTTAGGAGATTAGGTTTTATTCGTACATGAACTATAAATAGAGTAAGACGTGGTAAACATACACTGAGAATAGAAAAGGTAGATTAAGACCTTTGTCTTTAGTACAGAATTTAAAGGAGGAAAGATCCCTGTTTAATAGCAAAGAGGGTCTATATCTGGTGTATTTATTTTAGGTCAGTGCCGCTTGAGTGTGTGGCTAGGCAAACAGAATAGGTTTATCACAAATGTATGTATTAGTTTCCTCTGGCTTAATTACACACTGTTGCTTTACAAAGAAGTGGCAACATACATTTTTATTGTACTAACAGAATTAGTGACCACTACTCACTAATTGTTCACAGGCAAACCTGGATACTCTTAATATTTACATTAAAGGTTGCTGAAGTGTTTTGTTTCTTTGCAAATTATTCTCGTAATATCTTTTAAAAGTGTTAATTCTATCAGAAGAAATCACTGTCCTTGTGAATGGATGAACTTGCAGTTTTAAGCTAGTTGAGTTTATATTCATTTAATAAAACTGATGATAAAACAAAACTTTGTTCTGAGTTTAGTTTGGTTCACCTTTCAGATTTATTGTACAAGTGGAAATGCTTTAGGTTTTGTGTTCTATAATAGTGACCTCTTGTGGTGTAAATATGTCAGTATTTCTGAAGGAGCTTTCTGTAATATATACTGGAGGAAGTTGTATTTATGAGTCATTTTTAATGAGTAGATAACCTTCTAACTTAGTAAAATAACTTATCATCTTCTCCAATTAGTTATTAATATGCAGATCTCATACTGAGTGCATATGAAGGAAGAAGCATTTTAAGCACTGTATTCTAATATACTTTGTGTGTGTCTCTACTGTATCTTTTAGTGAGCAGATGAAAAAGCCAGGCACAAGTCCATCATGGCCAAGAAGTACAGGCTGGAAGGGAAGAGAAACAGGTACTTCATGAGGCATTTCAATCTCAAGCCAAAAAAATGTGAAATACAGTCAAATAGAAATAATCTAATTTTTGTGATCTGAAGATCTTTTTCTTCTTTATTCACTGAACAATATTTTTGGGTTTCTAGGTGTACGTGGGGTTTTTACTGTTATTGGAAAAGAGAAACAATAGTTAAGTGATCTTGACGCAAAATCTGATATTTTCCTTCTCATTTTTCTCATATGTAGGCTTAAGAATTTGCCAGTCCATTAACACCTTGTTTGCCCATTGCTTTTTGTAAACTGGCATAGTTGCACAGAAACTAATAAAGTCATGCCAAGCTATGTCATTTGAAGATACAGATTCTGCATTGCCCTGTAGAGATGCATTTTGCTAATTTTACATAACAGATTTTAATTAATATTTCCTCATAGCTGGCATGTTTCATACATGGCAAGTGCCTATTTGAGAGTCTGGTATGGAAAGCTGAAGTTTCTACTCTGCTATTATTATGCTTTATTACTTTTTTCCTAGAACTGAGAAGATGCATTATTCTGGATCATTCTGGCGAAGGCTGAGAGTATTTAGATGTCATGGGAGTTAGTATCCTAACATGGGACTGCATTTTCTCTCTTTATATGTGCTATTTTATTGGTGTTATTGAAAATATAATATGTGTTATTAGGATTGCTTCTTTTTTATAACATTATGTAGCTTCCTTAGTTTGTGAATACTTCATCTTTAATCCCAGAACAAACAGTGGAATAGCAGTAGGAATTCTTAATCATTTCTTCTGTATTGTAGGGTCCTGGGGGAGTGTTCATTTGCAGATTATTTCCATTTTCTGATATGATTTGTGTTTATATTTTCACATTTTAGAGAGGAGGTAGACTGTTTCAGTATAGATACATTCATAGCCACTCAGTATTCCATGAAAAGGCTAAACGTGATAAGTCAGGCAGTACACAGCTTTTGAAAGCTCAGTGTTGCTAAGGCTCTTGTATTTACATACTAAAAACAGCAACCAATAAATGTAGCCTGATTAGTGACTTTTTTTTTTTGACCAGAATGCAAAGCTGTGGTTAAGACCTGTGAAAAACGGAGACAGTGAACTTCAAGTTGCTGAATTCTTTTGTTTGAGTATTTTTGCTGTTGAGTTGTGATTCACTCAATTAGAAAGTTCAGAGCAGCGTCTGCAATATTTTAAATACAGCTAGTGCCATAACTTTTCATCAGCACCTTAAAAATCTCCCAGGACTGAGCCACATGCAAGTTTATAATTTATTAATTGGGTTTGGTTTTTTTTTTCATAATAATATATTTTCTGATTATTCTTATTGCTAGGATTAATATTTTTTAGTAAAATCTGATTATGTTTGTTTTCCTAATTACAACAAAAGCCATTATGACTTTGAGGTTGCTATATTTTTCTGATGAATGTGAGACAAGTGCAGCAGTGGCACAAAAAGTCAGTTCTTTTTCTTTTAGTTTTGAACTAAAAATTGAATGGCTTTGTTAATTTTTCCTTTTTTTATTTTTAATTCTATTTCTTGCTTAATAAATTTAAGCATGTGCATACTTAGAAAGTCAGTTCTATCAGTTAGAGAGGTAGCTACAAATCAGAAAGAAAACAAATAATTGAGTCAATATGTGGGTTTTGTGTCAGGAAGGAACAGAGCAAACTATTCTAGTGTTCTCACTCCAGCTGTGCTCTTATATTATCTTATATTATCTGGAGCAGAACTTTCACTTCATTGTAATGCTGCTTAGTGTTTTATTAATTAAGCTACTCACTGATCTAAATAAGACTGCTAACTCTAGATCTACAAAATAGAAAAGGTCTGCAAAATAAGTAATATTACCTAATAACATTTACTGACACTAATATGTATATATGCACAAACCAATAATATATAGTTAATGTAATAACATACTTACCTAGTTATTGCTTATGAAACAGTAGCATTTTTGTATAATCTGACGAAATAGATACAATTGATAGATTCATTCTGTGTAAAATACAGATAGACAGTTAAAGTCTGCCTATACAGTTAATACAGTCTGGATTTTTTTTTCTTTTTTTAAAGAACAAGCTTTTAAAACAGAAAGGTTTTAATTGTTTCAGTATTCCAAGTAATAGTAGTCAGTAATTTTTTCAGGGTCTGAGACACTGTCTCATGATGCAAACCTCTCAGTATCAGAGTTCTCATGTAGTACAGTGTTTTTTGTATTAATGATTATGTTAAGAGTTTACATTGTCATTTAAATGCAAGAGCTAGTAATGAACGGTAGAAGACACTTTCTTCTGACAAATCTGTTAATGTATATATTCCAGTCTGAATGATTTTCTTCATGTTATTTAGTGGAGCTGTGTGACTCTTACTTCCCTATTAAAAAAACAAACCAAAAACCAGACCAAACAAAACAAACCCCATCTTTGTAACAACTTTGGTTGCCTGCAAGATAAGGAGCGTAACCTAATCCTGAACTCCAAAAATATGCCTACATGCACCTTGTAGGCAATTGTTAGATCCTTTGAAACTCAACTTGCACTGAAACTCTGGCTCCATAGTGGGCCTATGGGCAAGACCAGAATTCTGCCATTTCACATAGTGCCATGTGAATGTGCAAAGGATGTTCAGCAAGTGGGAATAATGCCCAGTGATTAGGAGGGAAACATGCATTTTACAAAAATTTAGCCAAGAAGTTCTCAAAACTAATTGCGTGAAGTGATCAGAATTGTTAACAGGATGTAATAACTAACAAGACTATTTTTTCTCTAACCGACCACAGTCTCAGTTCACGAAGCTTAGTGTAACGTTGTGCATGTGTACTAGATAAAATTGTACAATCCGGGAGGATTGCCTGGAGCATGGATATTTTCTAACACAGAATAAGTTATCACGTGGACACAGAGCTGAAAAATAGTAGGACATGTTGATGTAAAAGTAGTCATTACCTTCCAATTCAGCAGTCAAGTGAAACAATGTCAGTAAACAAAACCAAATCTGGCTTTACAGTACAGCTTTACATATCACAACATTTATCCATCTAGCTTTGTTAGAAACTTTTGGTTTTGAGAAAATGCAAATAAAAACAAAAGCTTGAAGAGGTAGAATAACCCAGAATATAGCAATATGTGACGTTTTTTGCTATTTTGTTTTCTGACTGAGAAGTAAAGTATTTGTAGCTATTTGTATAGAAGTTGAAACCTTTGCTGAATATGTGCTTTTGTTTTGAATGTGTTTTTTAGGCTTACAGGTTGAAACAGGAATAAATGAATCAGAAGAGGAAGAAATCTTTTGGCATATGAAAGTTCTACCAATTCTGCATGAACTGGAAAAAGGTGAGTAACACTGTTCTCGAAAAGGTGTATTTTCTGTAGTATTTGCTGCAGAAAACATAGGACTCATTTGTGTTTACTACAAAAGAATAGCAGTGGTTGAACTATGTAGCCGTTTATGCTTTTGTATGTTCTGTGACTTTGCAGTGTAAAACTGGCCTGGGCACCTGTCTCTAGTTGGCCCTGCTTGAGCATGGGGGTTGGACTGGATGACCTCCAGATGTCCCATCCAACCTCAACCATTCAGTGATTCTATAAAATAAAATAAAATACTGGTTTAGAGAAGATCTTGTCTTGTAAGAAAAGAAAGAAAAAAAACAAACAATCTCTTGAATTTTAAAAATAGGCAAGACTTTTCCCTTTTCCTCTAAAGTAAACATGTACATGATTGCATTGTGTTGAGATGCAGATTTGTAATAATTTACTTCAGGTTTTATTTTTGTATTTTTTAAACAGTGTCTGAGGGACTCTGGTAAAGAGGTAGATGACTTTGTTTATCAATAGCCTAACTGTCCACCCAGATATATCTTGCACCTCTGCTATTCGTTGGAAGGTTCTAATGGGTTTTGACATTCACTTGTTCTTAATCCCAGCAAGGTTTCATATATTAGTTTATGTAATTAGGCAGAAAATTATTCCTTAACTGCCACTTTTTCACATGACACGTTTGGTGGAGCTCTTTAAAGAATATGTTCAGTGACAGTTTCCTGGTAGACATTTAGTTGGTGTGATTATTAAGCGTTAAAGGTGAGTTTCATTTTAGCTTTAGGTATTATTTTAGCTTTGTGATTTCTTGGCTCGAGTCTTTTCTTTTTGAAAGAGCAGAATAAAACTGCTTCTGAGAATCACGTCATTTAAAGAGATTCATTGGGTGCCTTATTTTTGTTGTTGTGCAACCCATTCTTTCTTTTGTTCTTCTGTTTCTTTGTCTATTGAGATGTTCTGAAAAAGGTTGTACTGATAATTATTTTTTTATTTCTGTCTCCCTTCCCACTTCCTTCAAATAGAAGACAATGTAGAAAATCTTTGTCTGGCTTGCACCAAGCTCTATCAAGCCCTGAATGAAGAAAATATGCTTGGAAAAAGATTTAAAAGAAGAAGTGTGCTTCTAAAGATATTATATAAACTTGTAGACATTGATTCAGACCCACTTTGCCTAAAGCTGACAAAGATTATTCTGTCTGTAAGTGTTTTATAATGTTGTTTATTAGAATGGGAAGCTCAAAATCATGAACTACAACTTGCATTTGATTTTCATTTCATACTTTTAAACTGTGTCTAAACTAATCCTTTCCTAAGCACAATTTCTTGCCACAAAGACACTAGTCTCCCAGTCATCCAGATAAACACTTGTTGGAGCCTATTTTTTGCAGAGAAATTGCATCTGAGAGAGGAAGGATGGTCCTCAAATAGGATAACTGATGTATGTTGGCAGTAATATTGCTTAGGCATGGAAAAGGGATAGTGTCCTAAGCCGGGATACACATGCAGGGATTTAAACAAAACAATAATTTAAAAAATTACACATGAAAATGAGTCATAGAATCATACAATGGTTTTGATTGGAAGGGACCTTAAAGGTCACCTAGTTCCAACCCTCTACAATGGGCAAGGACACCTTCCACTAGACCAGGTTGCTCAAAGCCCCGTCCAGCTTGGCCTTGGGCAATTCCAGGGATGAAGCTTAGTTTTTTAATAGCATCTTGGCCATATTGAACATGTTTATTTGAAAATACCAGAATTGTTCTTTTGGAAAGTAGGTATAATTATCTCTTTTCTCTAGTATTTCCGCTTAAAACTCTCAATTAATTGGTACTTTTGAACCTATTGGTTCAGCTTCTAAGTATATATGGACAGTCCCTGGTGAAAGGATATCAGCTAGCACAGTATGTGTGTTGGGGAGAGGGTGTTTCCTTTAAGAGGTGGATGTGTTATTCTTATCAGAAGACATAATTATAAATTCAGATACTCAAGTGATGCTTATAAAAAGAAAGTTCTGCCACAGACATTTTTCTGTGGTATCTTTTAAAAATCATTAACAAGATAAAAAATTGTCCTTGAAATGCAGAGGAAGAGATTTGTCATTGTATCATTGTATTTTTAATACTTCCCTTTTATGATCTCTCAATGACCATTTAGTACATCATAACATCGTGTTTTCCGATATTTGAGAACAACTTTCATTATAGAATCATAGAATCATACAATAGTTAGGGTTGGAAAGGACCTTAAGATCATCTAGTTTCAACCCCCCTGCCATGAGCGGGGACACCACACACTAAACTATGTGGCCCAAGGCTCTGTCCAGCCTGGCCTTGAACACCTCCAAGGTTGGAGCATTCACAACTTCCGTGGGCAACCCATTCAGTGCCTCACCACCCTCATAGGAAAGAACTTCTTCCTTAGATCTAACCTGATCTTCCCCTGTTCAAGTTTGAAGCCATTACCCCTTGTCCTACCACTACAGTCCCTTATGAAGAGTCCCTCCCCAGCATCCTTATAGGCCCCCTTCAGATACTGGAATGACATATATTGTTGCACTGGAGTTCCTTATGGTATGTCCATAGATGCCAAACCAGTGAACCTGTGCAGAATTTCTTTGTAAGAGTGAATTAGAGAAGAAAAACCTGCAAGTTACTGATATACTGCCTGCAGAAAATACATTAAAAGTTTTTCTATCATCTGTTACTTAAAAGTCAGCCAGCAAAGTTTGCTGAAGAGAGCTTAAACTAGCTAGGTTTCAGAGTCCTTTAATTCTGCAAACTTTGCAGTTTGGCTGAGTGTACTGTCAGGGTTTCGGTTGGAATTTAGTAGTTCTGTGAGAATAGAAGTTTGCCATGGTGTCTGAACTTGTAAAATGTTATGTTACATTTTTGTATGTAGATTTTACTTGTGATTTTTATGTGTTTTACTTTCTTTGCAGATGAAAGTGGATGGAAGAAATCTTCTCAGTGTTTGCAAGCTTGCATTTAAAATTTGCAGGAATGAAAAAAATGATTACATCATTCAAAATGAGGGTTTATTTGGTATGTATTCTGTTCTTGTATATAAGTTAGGTGTTGAAATTCAGTAGTTCGATTGATCATCTTTCAAGAAACTCAGAGTTAACTTAGTCATGTACTGAAAATTGCTTACTAGGTCAAACTAACAGTCCATCTAGTCCAGTATCCTGTGTCTAATGATGGCGACAGGGAATGCTCTTTAGGGAGAGTGTGGAAGCCCAAGTGTTTTCTGTGATCCGTTTCCCTTGTACTACCACAGCACTTAGAATTGTTACATAATATTAGGGACATTAGATGGTGCATCTCTGCCTAATCCTTCTGAGCATCTGTTTATAGACCTTTTGTTCCTTAATTTGCCTAATTCCTTTTTGAACTTTCTGCTTCTGTGTGTCTCTGCAACCTTACAGAGCAATAAGTTTCAGAAGTTCTCTGTCTGCTGTTTTAAACCTATCTACTTGTCATTATGCCCCTGCTTGTAGTTTTGCATGATTTGGAAGAGTTTCTACAGTCAGCTGAACTTCCACCTTCATGACTTTTTAAACTGCAGTCATATCTTTGCCTTCTCCTTTTCAGACTCAGGCGTCTCAGCCTTTTAGTTGTATCTTTGAAAGAATATTGTGTCATTCTCTTGGCTGTTTTAGTAGCCCTTCTCTGCAACTTCTCCAACTCCAGCAGATACTTCTTGAGATGTACAGAACAAAACAGTCCGTAGGAGTCAGAATGTGTCTGCACCAATTTTTATGCAAGTGAAATAATGTTGTCTGTGTTGTCAGCCATCATCAGGAAGGGTATTGAGAACAATTGTTGGCTTTTTTAGCTGCCTCTGCATGTTTAGCTGATGGTTTTGGAGAATTGTCAGCGATGGCTTTAAGATCTCTTATAACTGCATTTGTGTCATACACACACACCTTACAAATACCAAGAAAACTACAGTGTATGAGTGATATTCCGTATCCATTGACAGTCATTCCTTTCATTAAAACTTCATTATGTTTTATTAATGTAGGCCTTGACTTAGCAAACTTTTTTTTTTTGGTAGCATGTGCATAAGTTAGAGCATATGTGTATATCTGCTTAAATAGATGAGAGTATTCATGGGCTTAGAGTTCAGTATATAAGTGTTGTCAGAGATAAAGACCAGATAAACCTTTCCAGTAGTAAGATCAGCGGGAAAGGACTCGGAGAAAAGAGAACAGCTCAGGTTGTTCAACTGACTTTGGATACTGAGAACTGCAGTTTTGTAGAGATGAGCATCGTACAAAAATCTGGACAAGCTGAGTGGCTATTTCTGTGTAAGCACTGGGTTTTTTGCTCTCATTTCCATCTTTACTCTCTTTTCTTTCACTTGTTCTTCTTTCCCTGGATTTTAAAACTGGTGAAGGAAAGATGCTTTTGGTAAGGGTTTTCTTTGTTTATTCACTGTTTTTGACCCACCTTATCCAGGCTGAAGACATGGACCACATCATAATCCGGGTTATCATCGTAATTGAGATTCCAGTTATAGTCCCTGGGTTATATATTCAATTCCTTTTTCTTCCTCTGGCCTTGTGAACTATTTATGTGCAGCTGGAGCAGCTCCAGTAGAAGAAAGAAATTCACCATTTGTTCCAAAATAAACAACTACTGTTCAAGACCCAATTTGATACTGGGCAGAACAGGAACCTGAAACTGATTTTCTCACATTGCCACAGCCCAACTGATTTAGCTGACCACTAGGCATTTGACGAGGGTGGGCGCTGGATCAAGAACCTAGAGTGTGTGTACTTCATCCATATACAGCCATATACTTGGAGAAAGTTTCAACTTGAGACTGAAAAAGTGTTTAGAAATGGGAAAATGTTTTCATTCAACTGGATTGAACACAGGAAGCAGAAGTGAATATCAGTTTCAGTCAGTTACTAGAAATTCAAAATCAAAAAATTGGATAGGATTACTTAAGATACACCTACCAAATTCAGAAAGTCTCAATTTGACTGTGAAAGATACATTGGGCCTATGCTAACAGCTGTTAATTTTAACATTTCAGATATCTGACAGTGGTAGCATAAAGCAAAACCTTTACACTAACTTTACCTACAAAAAAAGTAAATCCAAAAAGGCTATGAACAGACTTCAAATGTGAGATTTGAGTTAGGCACCTGTGCTTTTTAGTGCTCCATTTGAGATGTCTAAGACATTTGATTTTTAAGGAAGTAGTGGGAATAAACCTCTCAGGAATGTCTCAAGTTTAGTACACAAAATGATGCAAACACACACAATCACTTCCGCAAATCCTGACTGAGATTTTCAGTGATTACTGCTATGTGTGTACAACTGGTACTGGTTCTTGAAGCCTGAGAGAACAAAATTAGGCCCATTCTCTTGTTCATTGATAATTGTTTCTTGGTTTCAGTCCAAATATGAAAGTTTTCTAGCTCACTTATTAGAAATGTAAGAGTTCAATCTGAGGTTTTTTTCCCAGTTGTTAATCTCTTCAGTGACTGGACTGTATCAAATACAAATATTAATAGTAGGCTTTCTGAATAATTATTTTCCTTTTAGATTGTTTGTTGGAGGTCCTAAGAACTGAAGATCTACAAAAAAATAATGAAGCTCTCTTATATTGCATGGGAGCTATAAAATTCATGTCTGGAAATGCAGTACTCCTTAATGAAATGGTGAAAAAAGGAGCTGTTGAAATGTTGCTGCAATTACTGAAGCAGATTAATAATGTAAAAGAAAATGACACATATTTCTCCAACTTGGGGCACCTATTAGTCCAGGTTAGCATTTACTTTTATTTCTAAAAGTACACACTTCAAAGGTAAATTCAAAATGTAATTAAAGGTGATAAGATAACCCTGTGCACCACAGAGAGAGTTGTACCTGTATTTGAATAGACTTTAAGAAGTTTACATGAAGTTGTTTAGGACCTAAATTTAATTATCATAGATACTGTTGTGTAGTCGATTTTAAAGGCTTTAGAAATTATGAAGTTAACAAATATTTTTATGTACATAATAAACCAATTTCTTCTTAATACTTTATGGTGCTGACAATATTCCGGATATTATAGTAAACAGATAAAAATGTGTTCCCTGTCTAAATTCTTTAAACTGAAAAAGTAAATACAAACTGGTTCTGCAATACTTTGGGAGATGTCAAAAAACTTATTACAAGAATAATGCATTTCAAAGAATGCATAGGAAAATATAGCTACATTTCTCTGACAAACTGTTTTTGAAGAACTGATTGAAGGAAAAGGTAGCTGTAAAAGCCAACACTCTAAATATTTTTGAAGGCAGCGGGCTCAAAACTATCTTGTCAGATATGAGATACCTTGTAGGATTTTTTGTATTTGTCAAGGATGTACCAGGTAGATTCCTGTCATTTGTTGCTGAAATTATTGAAGTAAAGATCAGTGAATGGTGTAATTTTAAGGTTTTGGGTACTTCATAGAAAAAAACACTGAGAAATTTAGAGAGGTAGTGTTTACATTCAATTTCTCTACTAATTATGCCAGGTTTTCTTTGCTCTCTACTAACTTAAGCGCAAGGGATTTTATACTACTTGAAATTATATGAAGAAACAGTTACCTCATCACATTACTATTACTGGGTTTTGTCTGTTTATTTTAGTGGAGCTATGAGGTATGTCTCTCCAGAATAGTCATAAACCAAACACAAACAACCTGGGAGATGCTAGAAAGTGCTGAATGAAATGGGAGATGCTAGAAAATGCTGAATGAAATTATGTGGCTTAATATGTACGTTTGGCTAAAAAAGTCTCAAAGTGGCAGATTGCTAAAGACTGGGAGAATATGTGATGAAACTGGAAATTTTGTGCTTCTCATGTTCCTGTTTTCTTTCCTATATGGTCCTGTCATCATTAAATTCCTATATGAATCACAAAATTATCTTTTATACACTTCTGTTTATAGAATTGGGAATGTTAACTTTCTTGTGGCACTGTGAATTCTCCAAACAATTTTCCCCCTGGAAGAGGGTAGGTTGAGATTAGATACTAGGAAGAGGGTAAATTGAGAGTAGATATTAGGAAGAAGTTCTTTACCATGAGGGTGGTGAGGCAGTAGCACAGGTTGCCCAGAGAAGCTGTGGCTGCCCCACCCCTGGAAGTGTTCAAGGCCGAGTTGGATGGAGTTTTGAGCAAACTGGTCTAGTGGAAGGTGTCCCTGCCCATGGCAGGGGGGTTGGAACTGGGGGATCTTTAAGGTCCTTTCCAACCCTAATCATTTCATGATTCTATGAATTCTAAGATCATCTATAGTAGTGCAGATACTTAATTTTTCTTCCTCCTGTGAGAAAAGCTGTGCTTCCTGCTGCTATGTGACTTTTTGATATCAGTTTCTTTAAGAAATTTACATTAATGTGCACCATTTTTTAGAGTTAATTGTTCAGTCCTTATAGACAGGTGTAGGAATAATTCTGTCTTCAGGCGTATAGTATTGAACAAAGTTTCGTCTGTGATTTATGCCTTCAGAATAAAGGAAGTTTTTGTGGTATACTTTAACTTGTAGCAAAAGATGAAATATCAAGTAGCATACAGAAAATAATGAATAAATACATGTCTCCAGGGATAATGAGAAAATTATATTGGAGGAGAAAACATCTTAAATAGTCATAGTGGTCTCTGAGGGAGGCTCTGCCATCTTTTAATGCTGATGACTGAAGGAGCTCAGTTAACTGCTACCAACTTTCAGTTCTTTAACTGTATAATTGCACAATCACCAGATGGCAGTGTTATACATAATCTTGCCAGGTCCTTTTTGTGGGAATAAACTCAGCTCCCTCTCTGATTTCTTCTTTGTTACCCAACAGATTTTATGTAGAAATTCCACATTACAAGAATGAAAATATTTGTAATAATAATAATTTTTCCTTAATAGATGACATGAAACCAAGGTCATCTTTGATTTATGTTGCTTCACCTAATTTGTATGAAATACGGTAATGCTTATTCAAAAGCCAAGGCTTTTGAAGTGTTGCTGACAGGACTTGACAAGTATTCCATGTTCTTTAATTGAGAAGCACTTAAATGTCTTTTCCTTTAAAAATTGCATTTGTCTGCTGTGAAATTTTTCTGTTTGGGTGAATTTGATCTTTCGCATGGCAACATAAGGATTAGGGCTGGTGGGGATTACTAGAGCCAATTGTTATGCATTTCTTCCTGAATCATGGCATCTGCTTGAAGCAATCAGAGTGTCTCTTGAATTCATTTGCTGTCTGGCTAGCTTCTATTATTTTTTAATGTGTACTCTTCAAATTTCACTTGCATACTAGCTGTTCTTTAGAATTTCATTGTCTCGCACATTTAAATGTATATGTTATTTTGCATTGCTTTTCCTTTACAACTTCTTATTGTGAAGTTTAGCTAGACCTCAACAAGTATCATCCTAGGCTGAATGTGAATGTCTTGTATGTGGGCATTGAATGGAGTCTTCTGTGTCTATTCAGTTTGGCAGGAGTTCATCCACTATAACTTCTTAATAGCAAAGTATATATCTGAACATTTTTATTTTAAAATATTTCTCCAGTATTGTATTGATTTTTGAAGCATTATTACTTGCGATACGGTTGTGAATGCATATCTGGAAATGTATCTTTTGCAGTAGTTCAATCAAAATAACAAGAAACTCCAAGTGTCTTTGTAAAATATGAGCAGTATGAAGCAAATGGCTTCTACAGATTCAGTTTTTGTTTATGCTGAAGATAATATACATTTCATATTTAGTTCTGAAGTTAAATCCATTTATGTATCGTGTTCACATCATATCATATTTTTTTTTCCCCTCTGTACCTTGCTTCTCTCATTTTGATACATTGTTCCTTCTCCCTTTCTTCCATTACAGAACATTGTGCAGTAACTGAAGACATACACACTTTTGTCAAACTTGTTGAAGTAGGACAGCAAATACTAAAGCAGCTTGAGAATGGGCAGAGTAGTGCATTGAATCTTATGAGCGAAAGCTCCTCAAACACAACAATTTAACCTGTTCTTTGTCAGATTTTTTCTTTAAAATTAACAATTACATATAACTGGACAAGCAGTCCAATTCAGTGATAAAATACTTAATTTCTGTAGATTTTTTTTGTGATAACAAAATATTTAAACAGATAACTTTCATGTCTTATCAGACTACATTTAAAACCAAATTGAAGGTAGGTAACTTACTCATAGAATAAGGAAAATGTGAAGAATTCCTGTATTCACAGAGATTAAATGGCTTCACATTAATTTTTTATAGTAAATTCTGGTTTAGATCAACCATTACCTTGCATGTCATTGCCTGTCTGACCTTGGCATTTGAATACCCTTAACTTGGAAGAGAACCAGAACATTTCAAAATATGCAATAGCTTATTCATTTGCATATCTACAAATGGTTAGATATTTTATGCTTAAAACTCCTTGAAATGGAACGGTATCTTCTGAAAATATTTTGATTTCTCCAAAATATGCTCGAGGACTTTAATTTTTATACTGTTCAAATAGTAGATTTAGCTTGATTAACTTCTAAAATTTTAAATCACAATAAATTTTATTGCCTTTTGAAACAAATTTAACTTAGTTTGCAACTTACAGTTATTATCAAAATACATACCAGGATTAATTTGTAAGACTTAAATGTAAATTTGCAAAATCAGACATTAGGCAAAGAATCACTTTATCCTCAGCATTTAACCTGATTTCTAATTGGTATGTGGTTGTATAGATGCATACAAGATTTTAAAATGTATGAAAGATCATGTTTCCCTCAGAGAAGGAGGCTACGTGCAGTCAAAGACCAGTATCAAGCTTTCATTTTCAACCACTTAATACACAACAATTTTGTCACTCGCACATTTTCTGTTACAATTTATCGGTAGATACATCCCTGCAGAACGTTAGCAGAGCGTTCAGACTGCCTTAGACGTTGTGAATGAGACGTGAGCTTTATTAAATCCACGGAACAGCGTGGATTCTGTTGTAAGCGGCTGTGATTAATGAATCTTCAAATATTCTGTGGGCAGCTGACAGCTACCTTGAGAAACTTGGCTGACTTGGCTCCGGCGAGACGCCAGCTCATTCGCAGTGGTGCAGTCTCTGAGCTCTGCGTGGCGCTAGAGCAGCGCATGAGGGATAAGGATGTGTGCACCTATGTTGTCAGGATATTCAGGTATGTGTAGAACACAGTCCTGTTTCTTCGTGCAGTCAAGTCGGTATTACTGCTTCGAGAGGCCCCACTAAAATTAGAAGATATACATTCAGTTGTTTTCGTAAAAGCTCTGTGTAGTTTGCAATGATTTTTGTATGATAATTGTGTCTTTATTAATTCTTATAGAATTGTTTAATTGTAGCCATACAAACTTAGATTCATTGTCCCTGTCAAAACTGTTTTGTTGTATTGTGTCATTCTTTGATACTACAAGTTCTGATCAAGATTATAGATTTTTAAAGTACTATTTCTTATATTTTAAAATGACATAAATTTTATGTTAGACCATGTTTAATAAAAATAACAATGAGATAAATTACACAAGCTTAAATTACATCAGGGACTGTGTCTTATGAAATAAAATGCAAAAGAGAGAAAATGTGACCAGTGTTTATTGTTTTGAGCTGTCAGAGAGTGTTTGAGAGTAATCTGTGGGATCAGGGCCTGAGTGTGCAGATGGAAGTGCTGAAAGAATCTCCATTTTATGAGCAGCTCAGTGGCTGTTTCCCAAGATGTGCTTTTGAGAGGGAGATCAGTAGGAGTGAATCACCCCAAGAGATCCTTTTGTCGTCTGATTAGTTTCTCAGTCAAAAATATTCCAGCTGCCAAGTGCCAGCTTTCAATATCCAATGCTAAATGAACTTGCAAACAATTTAAGGATTTTGAAGAAGCTGTGAACATAACTGTTAGTAATTTCAGGAGGATTGGGTTATAAGCACAATTTATGAATGCTGTTTTGGATGAAGTGTTTGCCATTGCTGCTTTGTTACTGTATTGAGTCATGCCACCTGTGGCTCCCTGTTCATTGACATTCTGCTATGGACTACTTTTCCTGTTCAGTCTCTCCAAATTATCTATCACATTCTCCTTGCTAGATGAGATTGGGTTGTGCTTTGAAGAGGAGCTACGTAAGAGACTGTTATTCCTTCTTCCTCTCCACAGCTAAAACCAGGCAAATCTGGTCCTTTGCTGTTTGTGCTACCTGTAAAGCATGTGAATTGCTTCCCCAGTTCCAAGCGACATTGTCCATATCTGTCTCTCTAATTTTGTTCCTAAAAATAAGTGAGTTCTGGCAATAATTACACCACTTCGAGCATATTTACTTCTTCTAAGGAGAAAGCATTTCTTTTACTTGGAAAATGCCATGGAAAGTGGGGTAATGGGTTTGTAATTGTAATTGCTATTGCTACTGTAATTCTGGCAAGGACATTTATTTGATCTAGAATTCAATATGGAGCATAAGTAATTTTTCTTATTTAAATTTTCCTATTGTTTCAGTATTTTTTCTTAAGTTTAGTGAACTGCATGCTCTAAGGATACAAATTAGCTATAAAATCCATTTACTTAGCTTCCTGGAAATTGCAGTCATGTTACAAAAAATATAGAGAGCACAGATTTTAATTCTCTTTTGTCTTCTAGTAATACAGAATGATTATTCTATTTTCTCAGTCATTTTACTTTAGGTAGCTTCCTTGTAGAGAATATGTTCAATCTATTCAGATGATTCATTTCTCCAAGTCTGTAAGTCTTGCTGTAATTGGTTGTAATTGAACATTAACACAGATATTTGCTGGTTTTGATTGCATGGGAAGTAAGCTGTTATCCTAGTTTGTTCTGTCATTGCAGTATTTCTGGTATGACCGATCATGTCCAATTCTCTGTTTTTGTAATGGTCAAGGTGAGCAGCATAGGACCGCAGCAGCTGTTAGGGAATGAATTGCCCTTTATTTCCTCTCTCGTCTGACTTTCTATGTCATCTTGAAATTACAGTTCTCCCATTTAACACTAAGAAGTGCTAGTGTTAGCATACTGTGCCTATATGGCAAGCAGGTCGGGAAGCTTCTTACATTCGCTTCTTCCTGTAATTCACTGTGACATGGGTAGCTAGACTTCTGTTCTCTCCTAGGAGTCAGAGTACTGGCATTCATTTCATTTGTTGGAAAATAACAGCTCTGAGAGTCAGAAGTAGAGTGATTTTTTTAAAGGATCTTTTGTGGAAAAAAGTGCTTTCATTCACTTTTGTTATATTTTTGTATCTTTGTAGCAAACTTTCTTCCTACAATGAGTTCTGCACAGCTTTAGCAGACTGCTCCAGATGTTACATCTTATTTTTAGCCCTACTAAACAAACACCAGAAACAGCAGGTCAGTTTTTAAATCTCTTGATTTTTATATGTTAATCCTTGGATGTGTCTGTGTATTATTGTGTATAAGCTTGTTTTCAGTGACCTACTTTTATGCATTTACCAAATAAAAATTTTAAATGGTTGACAGCATTTTTAAGTAGTAAATAATTGAAATGAAATAATTTAGATTAAAAATTCAAAGGAATACAGAGGGCAGACACTTGATTAACTTGTCTATCCTTTGCATGTGTAGAAAGCAAATTGTTTATTTGAATATTTAATAGTAGGAAGTTATTGGGATTTCTCCTGCCCTCCTTCTGTGCAAAGTAAGTATGGATTTTTCAGAGCTAAGCAGTCTGAAAGCAGAGGAAATTTTTTTCCTTGATAACTGCATAAGGTATCAGAATGTATCATCTACCAGCGAAAAACATATGCCTAGAATAGTGCACTTGGAACATTCACCTGGAAATAAATGTTTAAATCTTGATCTTCAAGGGTCAGGTGTTGCTGTATTGTCCTGCTGTATCAGTGATCTTTCCTATGTTTACTGGAGCACCAGGCTCAGTGGGTTTGGCGCAGGATCACAGTTTTAAAGATTGCCATGTTGGTAAGAGTAGTGTTCCCAATGTATGGCAAATTGCTTAGCTCTATTACCAGGTAAGATTTAAGAAAAAAATAATTTTTATGTAAAGCATAGATGTTCAACAGTGGAACAAGGTTTCAAAACATAGAACATTAAATTACGTTCAGATTATTCTTAAAAGTAAGGAACTTTCTTGGATGCTCCAGCATCTAAACTAGCTTGAGGACATTTGGTTATCCTATACGATTTCTCCCAGGGTTAGTAAGTCCTGGAGAATTGTTGGAAGGAGGTCTTTTGTGTTACTGTTCTTAAAGGCAGAAGGTAACCAGATCAGCTACACTGAACAATATTCTTTCTCTTGCCAAATACAAAAATAATTTCTCCCTTTCCTGTTTACCTGCATCCCTGTTTTTGGTGGTAACACTTATGGAAAAGGAACAAAGATTGTTGTTTCTATTCTTCTAAATGCCTGTTGATTAAAATTTCTACAGTATATCTGAGTATTTCTAGGTTCAGGCTGCTCGTGGTTTGTATGGTCTTCAAAGACACTTCAGTAAAAAGACTATGTAAATGCTATGTAAGTAGTATGAGAAATATCAAAGGCAGGTTATTTTACTAGATTTATAGTTATTTTTCCTTGTGAGCACTGTATTAAAAACTCAACAAATGATGGGACTGGGAATAAGAAGCTTAAATTGAATGAAATCTTCCTCTCAATCTTCATCTGTAATTTTAAGGGGAAGTTTTCTAGGCCTCTGAGGTAACAGTTTTGTGTTATAACAAATTGTAGGCTCATACATAAATTCAAATCATTTGTTGCTGGGTAGTGCTGAGAATTTAGCTTCTCGTTTGTCTACTTTATTAAGTGGTCCTAAAATATATCATTCTTCACTAGATAAGCATTGCTTTTTGTGTTAAACTGTCAGTTGTTTTATCAAAATACAAGTTAGTAAAAAAATAGCTTATGTGCTAAAAAAAGTTAGTTATTAGGTTGTGACGATTATATATGCAGTGTCTTCAGAATAATTATTTCTCTCTGCAGTTTTTAAACAAGCATGCAACTGTCGGTTGTCAGCTTAGTGAAGCCCTGCAGAAACAGGAAGAGGGACATAGATAATGTAATGCACCACTTTTTTCTGTAGTATATAATAAGCACTTTAGCTGTGAGGAGCGCAAATGTTTTTCCTGAGGTGTAGTTGGCACTGCTAATCTTTCTTTTAAAATGCTGACAGCTAGTGAGTTATAGCGTGAGTTAGTATATATTGAAAGGAAAACAAGTAACAGCAGCGTGAGTAAAATTGTCTGCTGGGGAAGAAGCAAAAAGCAGGATAAATCAGTATTATTAGCTCAAAGCATTAAAAATCCTCAGGACTAAGAACTGATACATTAAGAAAGGAAGTGTGTGTGTTTTCTGTATATTCAGGTTGCAGAGTTTGCGGGATCAGGTTTTTTTACTAGCAATCGTGGCAGCAGAAACATACTGGGGAAAAATAAAAGAAAAACGAGCATTCGAACTTTCTCATAAGTGTGACTTTGAAAATAAGCATTAAAGCTTGTGAAAATAAAAATGTGAGCACTGGAAATAGGGTTAATGACTTGCTCCCATACCACACACAGCTGCCACCCAAATAGTGTCTGTTCTTTTCACCACACTGCAGTTTCAGCTCTATTCTTTTTTTTCTCAGCTCATTTTTCTCTTGGGTAAGAGTCAGAAGGAATGGGAGAGTAGTAATTTAACTCTGAGAAAGACTTTTGGGGAAATTGAGTTGGCAAGACTTTCTAAATTCATGTGTCATAGTCTTAGGTAAGGAAGGGATTGGAAAAGCTGGATCTGCAAGGTAGGACTGGAGTATTCAGCGGTGCTTGTCTACGCATCTGAAGTACATACTCTGTTGGACTTCACTTGTCAACTTGTGGTTGGTTTTGTGCGGAATAATAAAAAACCCCTTGGTAGTTGCCACATGCTGTGAAACCTGTCAGAGGTGTTCTTGTAGAGCCTCTACCTTGAGGGTGAACTTTGCATGCTTCTGTTTCTAGTCAGCAGTGTAGACTTTTGCCCATCTCCAGAAATCTTTTAACAAGATGCATTTCCCCTTTCCCAGATCATTATCATCTCTAAGCTTTTCAGATAAGCTATGTAAAGGATGGCTTTCCCAGACTGTGGTTAATGTCGTAAGTCACAAGGAAGCCATGCTTTTGGAACAGGGAGATTGCCTAAATAGGGCAGTAGCTTCTGTCAGTAAGTCAGACACTACCCCAGCTTAGGTGGCCTTCTGTGGCCCTGCCAGCTTCAGTGTAATCTTTTATCGGTGTACAGTTAGGAATCTGTTTTCAATCCTAAGTGTACAAACATCGGGTGTGCTACTAATATTTGCATAGAGGAAATCTTGTCCCTGTTATGTACAAAAGTCTCTTTATACTTTAGTGTAGCCTACTTTTTAATTAGGAAACATTTGTAAATATCTGACATCGCTGGATGCAACAACTGCCTATTCAGCAAAAGAATAATCACATTAGGTCACATGAAAGATTCATCCAGCTTACTGTTCATACTCGGCAGTGGTGAAAATCAGGTGCCTAAAGAACAGTAAAACCAGAACAAGCACTTGTGAAACTTCCTGCGTATACTTACCAAACCTCCAGCTCTTTCCAGTTTGGAAACTTCCTCAGCCAGCTGTGGATTTCTGTGTATGAAATAAAGCTCAGTTGACTTCCATGAAATTCAACAGTCTTCCCTCTGCCCCATATAAACTTCTAACATGTTAACCATCCATTGGCGAGGAGTTGCCATAGCAACTGCCCATTGCACAAATAATTCCTTTTGCTTGTTTTGAATTTGGTCTTTACTATCTTTATTTGATGCCCTCAGGTTTTTGTATTGAAAAATTGGTGAATATTTAACCCCATCATTCACTTCACAGCACCCTTGACTTTCTAGACCTTTATCATATCCTCTTTGACTTACTTCTTTTTCAGGCTGAGGAGCCCTTGCTTAGTTAAGAGTCATTGCTTACTTAGTACTTCCTGATATAGAGGCTATTCCATACCATTGTGCATCTGTGTTGCTTTTCTCAGAACTTTTTACAATCCTGATTCCTGTATCTTTTTTTTTTTTTTTTGAGATGAAGTAAGCAGAACATGGCAGTTAAGATGTGGCCATGTCATAGATTTACATGCCTTCGTAAGTTTATGATCCAGTAATTCTCAGTATTTTATTTACTTTCTTCATCTCCTGTGAACATTAAACCCCCATGAGGAATCTGTCATTATCCCTAAGATTGCTCTCCAGGTGGTTACGGTTGGTTCAAAGGCTGTAATTTTATACATGAAGGTATGTCTACTCTGTGTTTTTCCACATGCATCATTTCATGTTTAGCTGCATTTAAATTTCATCTGCTGTTTTATTACCGGTTGACTACAAATCCTTTTTCTGCTCTTCAGCTGGCCTTCATCTTTGCCGCTTTGAATATCTTAACATCAGCAGCAAGCTCTCCCATGAAAAATAATTCTTCCTTCTGAAGGCAGACACACCACAAGTGCTTTCATTGTAGAATCACAGAATGGTTTGGGTTGGAAGGGACCTTAAAGATCATCTAGTTCCAACCCTGCTG